TTACTAATCACTTCCTCAAGAAAGAAAAAAAAAACAAGTGCGTATTAATAATAGATGTTGGGCTATAATGCCGCGTATCAACACGATTTGCTTATTCATGTGGTCTATTACCGGTTAACTATCAATAACCTATATCCAGCCAACTCAGAGAATCTGACCAACTGGGCTCAGATCTCAATAGTTCTATAAAAACCGATTGAATTGTTTATAATTGCTTACCCTCTTTTGCTTTTTCTTAATTCGTTGTCACAATGAAAATTCACAAATCGGATTGCGTCACCCTGGTTAAAAATATTATTATTCAGTTCAATTCAAAACATTGAATCAATATTGTCCATATTATAGGCTACTTCAAAATGAAGTATAGAAAAAAGAATATGCCTATGAAAAGTTGAACTAACCATTAAAAAAACCTAAGACCACTAAATAGCTTTATATAAAAGAAACCCAACATTTCAAATAGTCCGATGCATCAATCAGTTAAGCGCGAAAATGTATCACAACTCAACAATAAAGCACAATCCAGGTATAGCATACGGTAACTTAGACTGTTTTAAAACATTATCTTTACTACGCCCTTCCTATTTGTCGATCTTGTTAATTCTGTTGATAAAACTAAATGCTGACTTTCTCGTGAATTTACCAAACGACGGTAAGCCAGCATCAAAAAGATTGCTGGCACTGCAAAAAATTAAGTTTCATTAGAAACATTAAGACAGTTGGGCCTATTGTAGCAAACATTAAGGCCCGTATCCTCGCAAGCGGACCGTAACTTCAGCCCTGGACTAAGGTTAGTCCTGGACTAACTTAGTCCACTTTCGAGAATATTGGCCTAAAGCAACTCTCACATTAGCGCCCTAGCACTGCGATCGTACCGACCTGCGAATTAGGACCTGCCCTCTTGCCAAGATATGTGAATTGTTTCACATGATTCAAAGGGTGTGCTCATTAAAATTGTTACAGGATTCCCTTTCAGAATTCTAGTTTTGGGACAGATACTCATACATTTTTTTGCATTAGAAATGATATAATGTGATATATAATATTATTTATTCTAGTATTTGTAAATAATAAATAAACGCATTGCAGGGGCTGTCTCTTATACACATCTAGATGTGTATAAGAGACAGGATATATATATATATATTGACGATGAAGAAAAATTATTTGTGTCAAAAGGTGAGAGTCATTCTCATACTAGGCCTGCAACATCTGCTACTATTACTAAGGCCCCATTAAAAAAAATTATTAGTTTATCACCCACTTCCTCATCACTTTTGGGAAAAATCTGATTTTCTTTTCATTTTTTTTTTCATTTTTCAATCAATATTTTTCATTTCAAACGGTCCTTTTTTTCACTTGAAAAACTCAGGGCTTCTTGCAAATATACTTACTGGTACAACAAAAACATATTTTTTAAATATAAATTTGATTCCATTCTTATGACTTTTTATATATTGTCTCTAACCATTGATTTACTTGTGATCATCGGGAAAATGGGGGCGGGATTAGCAATAAAAAAAAAATTAAAAAAAAACCTCCCTCCCTCATCAGTTTTTATTCTTTGATAGGGTGATAAACTAATAATTTTTTTATGGGGCCTAAATGATACGATTCATTTTTGTACATTTAAAATTGGTTGGCTTGCAGGCGCATCTTCTCTATTTCCCTGTTTTTTTCAGATTGATGATGACTTCAATATTTCCGGTTGGTTACAACTCTTTAATAATTTATACCGATGAATCACAATTTCACTCAATATGAGAACCACATTTCACGGCTTAGCCAAAAAAAAAAAAAATGCAACCAACGTTCAACATTAATTGGATAAATATTATGTTTAAGTGACTTCCTGCTTCTGTTACATTATGTGATGCGTATACATTAATACAACATTAGGCCTAATCCATGTATGACATAGTTGAAAAGAGAAATCCGCGAGTATGAAAAAGTCGGGTCCCCGAAGCGAAATTTCGACCCCGGAACCTTCTGAATAATAATTATATAATTTCCCACATCAAAATGGACTGGAAATGATAAAGGAGGTAGGGGGTAAGATAGACATAGATCTGATGGGTTTATCTCAAATTCATTTTTGGATTTACTTTCAATTTGTGTAAACTCACAAACTAAAAAGAATACAGTTATCAGGTTTAGCTCTAATTATAAGTAATAATAATAAGTGGCCTTAATGCTTCGGAAATTTATGCATAAACGTATTTCTGTTACAATACACTAATGATAGGCCTACTTTAATTTTTAGTGACAATATGGAATGGCTTATTTTCCAATACGAGCCGAACGCTAAGTATAAAAATAGTACTAGTTGCTGTTTCAGTTAATTTTTTTCGTATAAATTAATGATATTAACAGTTATTGTTAAACAACATATATGCGGTGGCAAGAAATAAACATTTACGATGCCATGTGGTTTGCCTTAATCCGCAACCCGTCAGTAATCTGGCCCCTCACACCACACGCGTGCTCACCTCCCACGGGACGCCACAGGTAAGGGATTTCCTATCGTTTGGTCTCATTTGAGTCTCAATACATGGGTTGAAGGGTGAAGGCAAGGAGGTTAAACATATGTATGTTCTTTTTTTTTATATATTAGCTCGCTGTGCTAAGTTTTGATTTACTTGGTTTGGTTTTTCTTTGGACGCACGGTACGTAGGTTACGAGTGCCACTGTTTGTAAAAGTGTCGTTTCCAAATAAACAATAATAATAATAGGCTAAATACTCTGCATTGTATAATATGTGTAGTTAAACACTGAATATATATCTTTACCATTTAAAATTCCGTGCATGCATCAAATAGGTTATTAATGAGTGACAAATTTACAAATAGATATTGTCACGATGCTGTATGCCTACTGCATCAAAGCGCCGACGCTTTAAATTGATATAGCGTTGGAGCCTCTGATATTTGTCATCTATTTTCAAATCTTCTTTATGGTCTAAACTATAAATATTTGATAAGGAGAGTTTTTACCATTGTTTGACATTACTTGGAATCAATGTCTGGAATGCCATTTAAATCTAGAGTTGCAACACAATGGAGCATCTAGGAGTCTTGAAATGGGAGCTGATGGGGGGATTGGTGGGGCAGGGATGGGGGAAGCCCAACCGTGGTCGGATTAAGGTGAGTGTAGGCCTACACTCTTCTGGTAACTCTCTTTCAAACACTTTTTTACAAAAAATATTTGATGCAGGAATACATTTCATGGTCGTCTTTACTATTAAATTAAGACACTTAGAAAAACATTTTTTTTGTTGCTACACCCTCATATTTTTCGTTCGCCTCAGCTTCAACCAAACCATGGTGATAATAAGGTGAGTGTGGAGCCTTCTAGTTACTTGGTTACCCTCAAGTTAGTTTCCCCTGATCAATCAGTCCATAACCACGGCGCTGCCACTACTTTTCATGATTTTTTTTCAGTCAGTCGAAACCTTTTCCCCCAACAATGGTATCGGTATTTCACAAATGATATTCGGTATTTCCCCCAATTTCTTCTACAATTATGATGACGTTGTTTACACTTGGTGTGTCTATGTGTTATAATAATTATGTTGTCCTATTTACAGGATAGAATTTTATAGGTATTTAAACTCATAAATTTCTCGAAATGGAATGGAATGACGTGCCACGCAGGCCTACTTCCCCCACGTAGGCTAGGCATAACTTTTACAAAGTTATTGTATTGTGAACGGGGGCGTTTAATGGCATGATAATGAGAAGCATACTTATAAACAAGATTATTCAAATAGGCATAGCCTTTTATCTTTCACATCGAAGGTGGTATGGAGACTGGTAAACAATCAAAATATTTGAACTTCGGAAGAAGTTTTCAAAGTTATCCTTTCCTTACTGCTAGTACAAGGTTTCGCTGCTGGCTGTAAGACTCCACGCACACCTATAAGATGGGGTTGGGGTGTTCCCATTATGATATCCCCTGGACCCATCATTGAGGTTTTGCTTTGTGTCCGTCGGAAATTGGTAGACCTAGCTGTCGAAGTGCTTACATCCCTGTAAAAGTATAACCTGAGCCACTACGGTACGGTACTGTGTGCGATACCGGCGCAATGTGTGCCCCACTTCCAACTGTCAAATCAGCATTTTAGCAGGCCTACCCGCTTCCTAGTTCCTTTATTCAAAGCCGCAAGGAGGGGTATGTTTTAAGTTCCTAGTTCAAACGGGACTAAAGAACCAGTTACATCCTAGTACTACAGATGATTATTTAAACATGTTGCAACCAGTTCCTTTCCAAATTCCTAACTAGACTGATTGATTTCCTAGTTTGTAATACAAGCTGTTTAGTTTTTTGTTGCAGTTCCAAATGTCAACTGGATTTTTAGACTGGTTAAAGCTCGGTTTCCATACAATAGCTACACAGTCGCTACAGCGTTTTCACTGCAATCCTTCTGCGTAGCTGTCACGACACAATCGGGAACGCTCCAGTTGTCGGGAAGGTTGAACCTGGTCCAACCATAGAGAAAATAGAACAGTTCTAATTTCTCTATGGTTCAACTTTACCGATTGCGTTGCAGACGAATCAGGTTGCCTTCCCGATTGTGTCAGGGCAGGTACCAATGCCCTCTGATTTCGTCTGCACTGTAGCGATGCTATGGAAACCAGGCTCGTTGCTGATTGGTCGGTCGAATCGGGGAGCCTTCTCGATTGCGTCGGGGACTGCTTCGCAGTACAACGGTTGCACTGAAAACACTCCGCGACAGTAATAGCGATTTAAGGAAACCAGGCTTTACTGTACATAGTGGATATTTTGGTGGGAGGGAGAGAAGGAGGATGCCGCCCCTACAACCTGTAGATGCAGCACAGATTTTTTGAATCATTTCGTTTTCTCGACTTTGAATAATCGTTTGATGTAGATTTCAGGTTGTGTTTACAGCACACTGGGCAATCTGCACAACATTAATCAAGTATTATCCCGTATCTAAAAAAACAACGCAAATACATAATGATTGACTACAATAAAACATATTTACGTGATAAAATAAGTTTTTAATGCACAATACATATATTTGGTGACTGAGAAAATACAGATGACATTATATAATAACTACCAGTAAGCAGACTAAACAATAAATAGGATAATAATTATGTACGTATGCACCTAAAAATAAGTTTTCATTCAAGAAATGGATTAGTTACAAAACCAAGTTGGTTAAAAAAAACAAAATCACGATGGAGTTACTGTATATACCGGTACAGATAACATCAATATCAACAATATACAAAGTAAATGTTACACTTGCCATAAATTATTTTATAAACGTTAGCTGTGTAACTAACTAGGCCAATCAAGGTCTTATAAATGTACAGTATCAATAATTTGAGAAATTGAAAATATAGGTTCAAGCGAGAGGGAACTGCAGAGGGCAGTATTTAATATTTTAAATTTAGTAACTTTTAAAGTTTAAACATTGTTTCATCTAGCTTGGAAATGGATTTATAGCTCCAATGAGAAGCTTCAGAAACACTCATCTGATTAATTTATAGAAGAGAACTTTTTTTTGTATGGGCGGCCGTAAGAGCTCTAGAAACACACGGCTAATTGATTAATACATCTTTATTTTGTATGAGCGGCCGTTAGAGCCAATATAATATACTGCCTCTATTTAACTGCTCTCATCGGAGCTTTCGAGATTACGAGAACTTGTTTTTAATGGTTGAACTATAATGGCTTAAAACGTTCATGTACTTTTCGAATATTTTGTCCTCCATACATGAAAATAAAATCCCATCTCCATAAACATTTGTTAATTATTTAAAACAGAAATTATTACTACACAAAATGTATGCACCTATAGAAACTATTGGTGCTTAGCTAACATACCATTATGGGTAAACATTTACAAAAAGAATACAAAAACTGGTATTGTTCAATTCTGAGTGTGATTACATCTTTTTAAACTCTTTACCAGTAATTAATTTTTGTTGCCAACAAAATAAATGCAAATATAAGTACAGGTATACAAATGCAGACAAAAAAATAATCTCTATTACATCATGGTAAGTACAAAGGCCAAAAACAACTAAACTATTAGGCTTATATATTCTTATATAGATTGCTATTGTCACTTTTATTCCATCATCCTTATTACATATACAACAAAGATGTATAAAGTATTGGCACCTTTTGTATCTTTAAAATACAGACACAGAAATTTTCTTAGAATTTGTATACAAAAATTAATTATAAAATTTTCTAAAATTATATACAAGGTTACATGTACAGTACCATATGGCTATTTGATACACCCCTGTTTGGCATTAATATATTACAAATGAAAAATATTTAAAAACATATAATGGAGTGAAGTGAAGACCACCAGCTCTGGAAAACATTTGCAAGTACAATGCATGCCATAAATAAGGCCGTATAAAAAATATTATTAGTTTATCACCCTAATAAAAATTTAAATTTTGAATGCTTTAAATAAAACACAGCATTTATTAGCTCTAGTAATATAAATAATATATATATACCTAATATAATAATAATTGGGGAATGCAGTTTGGCACTGCAATTTCCATTCAGGTTCGAACCACATGCTAACCGTTCTCGGCTGGCTATGATTATTACACCAACTTGCACTGTTGACGGACTGTGAAATGGTTAACGCTATTTTTCAGCCTTTAGGTGCAAGTATTTCATGGCTTATAAATGAATTAAAATATTGACTAGGGCTGACACTACCAAGATAAAAAAAATAATAATAAAAATAATAATAAAAATAATAATAATAAAAAAAAAATAAAAATAATAATGCTTTATATAGCATAATTGCAATAACCTGCCTCTATGTGCTTTATGTTAGCTCTAATGCTTAACATCCTGTGTTGGCATTAATTATCAGTGGTATCTTTACAATTTGAGGTAACTGTAATAATATGTCATAAAAAATATAAATATCAACATAATCACAAGTAACACCATTAAGTACTTGGGATATCACTGAGTTTGTAGTTGTGCGGAAAAAACATTAGAAATTTTTATTGCATTGTAGAAATCGTGATTTCATATATAAAACAAAACTTTAAAAATGCACTGAAAGAAGGCCCCCTTTGCTGATGGAGACATTATTAGCATGTCATTAGCAACTTTGCCATTCATCTTGGAATTAATAATCTTTACAACCAAACTTAGAATTGCATGTTCAAACTATTTATATAAACATGATATAATAGCAGACATAACACCTCTTTGACTAATCTACTACTAAATAAATAAATAAATAAATAAATAAAATTGGAAATATTCCTGCCTAATTTTGCACTAAACATTTTGGTCTGATACCAAGGCTAGAGACTCAACATTTGATTACGAATTTGAAGTTAGGTGAAATACAAATGAGATAGTTGATGGAGACATACAAAGAACAAGCGATCGACCTTACCAGAGTGTCAATGAAACTTAACAACTGACCAATCAGAACAATCAGGAATACACGCATGTCTACAAACATGTGCTGTCTGACAAACTCACAAGTTCATTTTTACACTGCCATTTTGTGGGACCTAGCAACAGTATCCAAGGACACTGTAGTGGCGCCAGGATTTGCCCGATGGGAGTTCCGATGTCTCCAACGAAAAAAATTAGGCGTGGTCGGGCTCAAAATCTCTTGAAAGTGTTTCAGGGAGCGAAGCCCCCAAAAAATATGACAATTTTTGGAGTTTCACAGAATTAGTTAATGATTTTGGCAAGCTGGTTACACCTCCCCCACTGGCGCCACCCCTGTCCAAGGGGCAGGGTTTAGCGGAGATGTCCATGGTTCAGTGGTGTTGAGCTAGCGTGGAAGAGTGAGAGACTCTATTGGAAAGCTCTAATAGGAACTCTGGTGGGAAGCTTTTTTTGAAATAGTTCCCAAACAATGACAATATTCATCATAGTGTATACCACGTCAAGTTGTGTGGTCTATACCCAATGAACAGCCAATTTATAATGTTTAATAACATAGACTGCATACCTCTGCCTGGTGCCTGAATACCAACAATACACAGACTGTAAATGATGGGCAAAATTGCAGCATACCCTCAAGGAAATAATGGAATCTCCCATCATGTTCAGGAACATTATTTTCTGTATATCCTTAAAAAAAATAATGGAAATGCCCATAATATTCAGGGACATTATACCTCCGGGCTGTGCCTGAAAATGAGGGGAGATTCCAATATTTTCTTTTATGGTCGAGGGTAAAATATCGAATTTCCATGACCTTAATATTGTCCTTTGACCTTTCTTTCCAAAAATTGATTATCTTTCTTTGATTATTATGTACCATTTCACTAAATTTTATGATGATCAATTCAATAGTTTTTTTGTAATCTTGCTAACAGACAGACAGTGGTGGATACATAATTCCTCCTCTGGCAGAAGTAATGGTCACAATTTTAAGGTTTGTCTGTCTTGCCATGCTGCATCTTTGATACGTGTTTGGCTGCCTGACGTATTTTGGCCCAGTTACGCTGGCCGCTGCTCTCAATCCACTTGCTACGTTGCTCAGCGGCAGCATTCAGACTCCTCACATGACTTTTAAATTCAGCGTCCCAAACAAGAGCATAACTACATTCATATTCTGTGAAATAGGTTGAAATATGTAAATTAAATGAATGTAATTATTCGTGCTTCAGTGTAATTTATTGTATTTGTACACATGTGTAAAGTTTATCAGGGAAATGGGAAAATATAAAATAGTAAAGGACAATACAAAATGAAAAGACTGTTTTATTCGTTACTATTTCATATGAGCAGAGAGATAACCTTTCCAGTGTACTGACAAATCCGATAAGAGCCTGGAATATGCATGTGCATATATAACAAGCCACATGCTCTAAGGGGCGGGCTTAGCAGAAAGTTCCATCTGTCGCAGCATAGGTTAAAATCAATTGATTTGTAAGTTGCTGAAGTCATACAAATAGAAACATTGTATTAAAAGAGAAGGTAAACATTCTTTATAGTTTTTCTATCCTTATTATTCAAAAATTATTTTACAAAATGATTTTTTTTCATTATGTGTTTGCTTACCATGATTGGCGTTGCTTGTGGATGTGGTATAGGCCACGCCAGTAGATATTACACAGCTTGACTTCCCATAGCCTAAAATACAAATAGTTAAAAAACACAATGACATTTAGAATATAAATTGAATTACAATAAAATATGAAAAAAAAAAACATCATGGCAATAAAATTAACTAAATTGAAATAAATAATGTTGGCTGAGGCTCATCAAATGCACATGGTAAACTTGTCACATTCAGAATATTAGATGAAACCAATATTATAAAATGTATTTTCATGAGTTGAAAGATTGACTGTTCCATTCTATGAGGCAGAGCAGAGTTGAAGGGAACAGTCAATCCTTTAACCTTAACTCATGAAAATTGTTTCCATTGTACAAATACAAAACATTCATTATTACATACCTAAATAAGAACGGATCCTTGTCATTTGATATTTTATGAATAAAAATTAGTTCTAGGCTTCTGAATGGACACTGGCAGCTACAGGATATATTGTCAGGGGGTGGGGGGGGGGTCGAGTAATGGGAAAAGACAAAATGGACCTAAATTTACTTTAGTGACAAAATGGTGTAGATAACTAATTCCAAGGTGGGTGAGATTCCAGAAGTTTTTTGCATGCTTGCTTGAGTGCAGCAGGCTTTCCTGATTTTTGGAGACGATCCCTCTAGTTGGTACTTGGAGACTTAGGAACCCTGGAGTATGCATGTGAATATGCTAAATATCAGTATGAATCCATCCACCCATGAATAACTTTTTAACATTTTGTTTCATGTATTCATCTGTATGCCTGCCTACCTTGTTCTTGGGCTAGCGTCAAAGATCGAACAGGACCATTATGTCTCTTCACAACTGTGATCAATTTTAATGACAGCGTGTCTATCAGACAAATATGTCCGACAGATGTGCCAACCCATGCCACCTGCGAATGGATGATCATCGACTTGACAACAGCGTCTGCTTCCCTAGTTTTGTAAAATTAAGGTAAGAAATATAATTGGATCTCCATAGAACATAATTAGAAAATTAATCTATCCATCTATCTATGTAGGAGTGGTTGGGGTGCAGTTGGTGGGCGGTTACATTTCGGTGTCTTAACCATGAGGTCTGAGGTTTAAACACTAGCTGTGAATTTCGATTGTGTCCCTGTCCTTGGGCTAGGTAGTGTACTTAACCTGCAGTTGCCTCTTGCCACAAAAAATATAAGTGAGTACCTGGTAGGTTCCAGCACAAATCTGTTTATTACTTCTGCAATGTTCTGGATTGGATTAGATTGGTTTTTTTGGTATAAACACCAAGGGGAGCCCACGAAAGTCTAGAAGAAGACTTATTTCCAGTGGAGTGTTTGTTCCAATGACTGAGTTCATAATGTGAAAACCAGATAGAGGTTATGACAATTGTGCTTTTAAACCTACCACTATTATTATACAGTACCTCACACTAATTTTTTGTGGAGGCATAAAGTTTATTCATTTGGTATTTTCCATGTTTGTTGGTCAGCCAGTATCTTTTTAATTACAATGGTTTATTGATTCAAATAATTCTTACCTCATTATTTCAGCTACATTGATTAACTGCTTGGAGCCCGAATAAGCCTCACCATTTGTCATTGAATGACGTGTAATGTCATGGATCTCAATTACACTACTTTTGCGCCGAGCAAGCCAGAGTTTCTGATCGATGCACACGCACGTTATCAGAGAAAGGTGGTCAGACCTGGAGAGAAATGCAGAGAGACACAATTAGTGATAAATATGCATAACATAATCCATATCTTACAATGGTAATGGCTTAACAAACTTAGAACCAACACCTCTTCACAGTTTCAAAACCAACATCTTACCAGTACCATAACCAAATAAAATCTTCACCCGTACAAAATGCTAAAATCTTAGCAACACCAAAGTCAACACCATACCGACAGCACAACTAACGTCTTACCAGGCTGTACCACAACCTAAAAACATTTTACTAGTACCACAACCAAAGTCTTACCAGCAGCACAGCCCACATCATCTTACCAACAATACAAACAGAATCTTACTATAGTACCTTAATAAATCATAATGAAACACTACAGCTGCCAACATCCTACCAATACCATTAGTACCTTATCTTCATGGTACAACATAAATTTCATTACCATGATAAGAACTAACTATATGAGAACCAGAAATATTACCAGAAATACTGTCAAATGGGTTAGGATTCCTTTTACGAAGAAAACTACAAATATATGAAAATGACTAGATGTACTGAAGACATTAGGGTGTTCCAGACAACTCACGTTGACGTTGGGGTTCGTATGTCTGCATAAGATTCCTCTTCCAGGCATTGAAGTTCAAGTGATATCGGCTGACCACCACATCCCAGCCACAGTTTACTGCTGGTAGCAGTCATGCATTTGATTGGCTCTTTAGAAGAACCAACCTGGATGCTCTTCTCTGCTTTACAATCTGGATTCTGGAGAAGAAAATTAAAGAGGTAGCAGTTTTATTTAAGTGATTGTTACCCAACCTTGTAATTCCTTGCCCCGAAACCTTGACACTTTCCCTCTCTCCCAACTCTCTCTTCCAGGCACATAAAAAAGAATGCAGTACACTCTTCAGAAAAGAGTAGGGGATTGTATCCTGGTGTACTGCCTAAACCAGAATGACCCCACTGGAAATAAGTCTTCTTCCAGACTTTCATGGGCTATCCTTGGTGTTTACACCGAATAAATCCAAACCAATCCAACATGGAAAGAGCCTCCTGTTATGTATGCTACTAGTGGAGTCAATACCTCACTGTATGTGTAAAATTAGTACTACAGTATCATTATCCATGTTTAATTAAAGTATTTGGAAAGAGCACATAAGTCATTATTATGTACAACCGTAAAACTAAATCTCATCTAAAGCAGTGGCGGCTCTAGGATATATTTTCTGGGGGGGGGGGTGCTAAGTTGTCCGACAGGGGGATGTAGGCTCGAGCTGGAGGAAGGGGTTTAGAGGAGGTTCCCCCTCCCAAATGAGATTTTTTTAAAAGAATATCAACCTCTGGATGGCCGAAAATGGCACTCTCAGACTGTGACAGACATGTGTTGGCTTGGTGTGGGCCTATTTTTATATGTTTTATGGTCTGACTGCCCGACGAGCTCTGTCTGGTGGGGGGAGGCCTGACCTGTCCGGTGGGGGAGGCCTGACCTGTCTGGTGAGGGGGCTTAAGCCCGCTGCTCCAGCTGGCGCCGCCACTGATCTAAAGGACAAGGTAATGGTAATGTGCTACTCCACAAATGCATATGATTGCATATGTTTACATTGTTTAGGTTTTTTTTTTTTTAGACCTTAACAGCAATATTATATATAAATAAAGAGGTGGGCTTAGTGGAAAGGACTGTTTGACTAAAGTTTCTGTTCATGCACACAAAGATCACCATTGCCAAATGAATTTCAAATTTAAAAATAAATAAAATTATATATAGTCTCTCACCTTAATAAGGTGTTCTGCATTGAATATTAATAGCTGACCATCTGCTAATCCTGCATAAACTTGACCCATATTGGTACCACTGTAGATAAAGATATCTTATTTTAGTGCCTTAGCTAATATATTATCATTCTTGCCTTTATAGCCCACATACATATATGGTTAGTTAGCATCACACTGTTATACCTGCCAACTTTGTTGGTGTCTGATGCTCAAGACAAAAAAAAAATTAAATTGTGTATATAGTGCCTCCTATCTAACAATCACAAAATATTGTATCTTTTATGAACATTTTTATGATACGGGGGATAGTACAACGTAGGCGTGAGATGTAAAAATTGGATGTTCAAGCATGAGACTCATGCATTATGCATGAGAGTTGGCATGTGTATAGACTGTAGCATTGTAGTTGATGGCAGACCTTCAATCTCATTTTGATCATTCCTGATTATCCTATCATAATTATTATCATAACTATCACACCATCACCACACCATCATCACAATTACTACCATTATTATCATCACCATCATTACCATACCATTTTGCGCTAAAATTTGGATACATGCCAGTAAATGTTGTAAAAAAAACCCCTAAATATGACCATTTTCAACTTCTTCCAGTAATAAATTCACTCATACAGGATCAATTTTCTTTAAAGAATCGAATCAGAACATAAATCCTTGTAGCAGCAAAAGTAAAAGGTCGATTTTCTTGGGGAAAACTCCATTCGAAAGCATTATTTTTCTTCTAAATCATATCTAAACATTAATTTGAGTGGTTAGGTTGTAAGAAAACAACATGGTTTTCTGAGTGGTTCGCACATTGCCGCCAAGGTGAGCTGTATGGTTCCATATTCTAATGTGTTAGGCTACTGCATGTAAGAGAGCGATGGAGAATTACAGTGTGTGCTAGGCTTGTTGTGGAACAGTATTCTATATATTTGTATTGAAATATGAATAAAATACCTTATAAAGCTGTTACTGAGCTTGTTTATTGTAGTCTATGGAAACACCCTAAATTATAAATGAACTGTTCCAAATCAATATACGCGCTTGACGCATAGTCCACAGTGAAGCGCACAGTGCACGTTGGCCTATCATTGAGAGTGTATTCAGTGAATTAAATTGCACTGCTTGCAAAATGTTATTGTAATGTCATCACCATCATCATCACAATTACTACCATTATCATCACCACCACCATGACAATTACTACCATTATCACCACCACCACCATCATCACAATTACTACCATACAGTACACACTACAAATACTCAGCAAAGTGAATATTTATATATATCTTACCTAGGTTTCCATACTAAACTTAGGACACTATCTGTGAGCCTGGAACTAGTATGCTTCAATATGGGTACCTCACTATTAGCATCAAAGACACATATCACAGCAGATTGCATCCCCAACAGTACTGTGTCCTTCCCTGCATTCACCATGCAGAGTGCTCGGCCATGTTTACATGCCATGCCCTAGGAGTCAACAGTTATCATAAAGTTAGCCTTACATACATCTATCTAGCTATCCAACATTGTAAAACTTCTTATTAAGTTAACAATTTTACCAAACCAAATTGGTTGTAAGTTTGTTTCAAACATTAGTGTAATGCATTTAGTGTGAGCTTAAGCTGGTCAAATGCTGTACTGATGTTCGTCAGCCGACGCAATTGCATGTGGACCAAATGTGAGGGTGACAGACTGAATTCAATGATGACCTGATCATACTGCCACCTACAATGATCAGCAGACAAGCACCCACACAGAGCGAGTTGAATTTGACAACTGATGCACTTGTTGAATTATAAATGCAAGGAACAGGTAATTGTTTTTGGATGCATTCTTTATAAATTAAGTCTCTTCATGAGGCTTAGGGAGTGGCGTTGTTTTTTTTTAGTCAAAAGAAAAAGTTCTGTTGTCACAGGAATTGGAACCCAGGTCACGGGATAAGAAGGCAAGCATCTTAACCACTAAGCTATTAAACTTCACTCCATATATGTTATTCAGTACTTTATTTCAGAACAAATTTAAACAAAAAATAAACTCTCGTATACATTCGTGTACACTTTGCATCCCTGGGTAAGAGTGCTCAAATCCTAAGGCCGAAAACCGCATACCCCATATACAAACAATATCTACTCAGAATAGAATTTCTTAACTAAGGTATTGGTACTTTTAGTATGTTAGCTTATTCCATTTTTGATATTGTGAAAATGTGTTTAGAGCTATTTATTTGTTACATTTATTAATACATTTATAGGACAGCTATACAGTCTGCTTCAATGATTCAGAGCTTTTAAATAGTCAAAATTGAAATTTAGTAATTAATTTATTTAAAATGTTGAACTTTAATTTATGGAAACTGAGATTTCATTGTATTTATATATTCTTGGAATGCAATACATTAATAGTAATATACAATATTTATTTTTAATTATTACCATACATTGAAATATATATATATATATCCTAAATTTCAATTTATAAATTAGGCAGAATATAATCATAAACTAAAAATTAATTCTACATAATCTTTACTCTTCATTGTCACATTTATTAATAATTTACACAACTTCCTTTTTCAATTAAATTTCAATCTTTATAATTGTTCATTTAATTCTTTCCTTCCGTAAATAATTTTCCTTCATCACTTCACATGACATAAGAACAGAAACATCTGTTTATTTTAACACATTTTATACCAAACACCTGTTCTTCTTAAGGACATTCACGTTGAACATCAATGACATTCTTCAAAGTTCCATTGAATTAAATCAAATTATATTATTTTAAACCTACATTCATGTTATCAAAGTATATCTGGTCTTGTTGATAGGATATAGATGAAAATTTCTTTAAATTATACCAAAATAAGCAACAAAAAGAAAGCATAAAAACCAGATAAATTATACCAAAATAAGCAAAAAAAAAAAAAAAGAATAAAAAAACACATCAGAAAGCAAGTATTGTTTGCTTAGTTTGATCTAATTGAAATAAATCTACATCTATTAAAAATAATTGTGATTTGTTGGGGGGGGGGGGGGGAGTGGGTGGAGCTTTAAGGCAGCTTCCCCTGATTCCACCTCTGTTAATAATGCAGCAGAAATTAAGCTTACATCCATAGTGAATTTGCCACAAACAAGAACAGGTATTTAAACAGTGGAGACTTATAACTGGACAAATTGCTTTTTATATTACTCATAATTTTTATGCCTCTGAAAGAACCCATATATATTTATATATATATATATATTAATAGAACAATATAGCCTTCTCCGAGTATGATAAAGCCAGATTACACAGTTTTTTAATTTATAGAACACTGTCTACATCACAATTACTACTTGCATATAAGCGTCAACACCTCTTTTAGCTATCTACCCCACTGTCTACTAATGCAGCAGTATACTGTACTGCTTTTATTAAATTTCATTTTTGTCATTATTCCAAATACGGAATTAGAAATAGCAATGAAGAAGTCATCGAGCAAATGGTAATCTCCTATGAGAAATAGTCACACTTTCTCATTTTTTTTTTTATCCTTTTGCGTACAACTAAAATTTATGCCAATATTTTTCCATGGTTTATAATAATTAGACTAGTGCATATGCATTCTAATTTTTTTTTTTAAGTGAAATTTTGCTGGGAATGGAACTTTAATTACTATCGAGAGGCTCCCATAACAAAGTAATATTTTTAGGTTATCCTCAGGCTTGTTTTGTATTTGTATATTTGTATGTTGAATCGAAATAATAAATGAAATAATGAAATAATGTTTATCTGTATGTGTTTACCTGTACCATCGCATCTTGTTCATGTTGTGCAATATTGACTTTGCATATCATGCTCATTTGAGGATCTCCACCAGCGAACCACACCTCTAGCGTCTCATCATTTTCAACGTTATTACACACCTGTAAAGTGAATTCATACAAATTAAGACCAGGCTGCAATGAATTCTATGTGTCTGATGTGCATTGAGATGCTCTTCCAGGAATGCGACACTGAGAATTTTTGTTTAATTACTTGTTTTTTTGGGTTCGCGCAAGGCGCTAACTCCAGAGCCTGACTGGTGTTCTTGTTCTTGTTACCAAAGATACTAGGAATATGAGCACTCGTATAGCAAAAATGAGACAGAAATTGGTCCAGACGTACACAGCGACCTTCTGTTTTTATAATGCAAGTTTTCTATACTTGGTCCAGACGTACAGGGCGCCCTTCTGTTGATAGGTATATCCAGACGCACATGGCGCCCTTCTTTTCCACTAATGGAGGAAAACTTTGTCACTAATCTGGTCATATGATCCTGCGCTTTTGTGTCTGTCATTTTATTGTTTTGATTTATTTATGCCTACTTGTTTGTATCTTATGAATAATGGCAACGATTTTAACCTCTGCAAAAGGAAATTATGTAATCACAGTTATGTAACAGTGGCAGAAGTATTTTAGATCCCACCATGCATTTTGGTGGAACAGTTTTTTTCTGTGGAGAACTCTATCTTGTGTTTCTAGTATCTTTGTTATTACTAAAACTTTAAAAGCGTGCAGCGTCACCAATTTTGTACACATAAACTAAAGATGATTTCCAACAAACGTTCATCGCCCTTTTTTTTAAGTTGGACCCCAGGGTGCCACCTACACCTACAAAACAAAGCAGGGGTTTCAGCAAGGATTGTACATTACTGCTTTACAGGGCTTTAAGAAAGCTTGTTTAACCAGATCTCCGAACTTGGGATCATTGGAGCATTGCACTTTGACGCTAACGAATTTAAAAAAATCAAACTCACTCTAACTGTAGTACATTCTACTGATACTCCTTTGAAGAGTGGAAATGTATTTCGCAGACACAACAACTCAGGTGCACTTAAACGCTGATATGCTTGTTCCGACTAAAATAACAAAAAGAGATTTATGTTAATATTCAGAGAATAAAAAAGGTATCAAAAACATATACCGTAGTTCCTCAGAGCCAATTCTTGGGTACCACCCGACTATTGTTTCTACCAATATTAATTATTACTGATGTATATTTGCCCCAGAGTTGCCCAGTGGATTGATTTCTATTAAACATTCAAATAAAAATTTGATATTCACACCCACTGGAGCCACCACTGCATACAGTATTTTTTACTTACATTGTTAGCTCATAAATCATGTTAGAATTTATTTATCTGAGAAACAATTTATGAAGAAGCCTATTTCAGTCATAGATACCGTTATATACTTGCGTATAAGGCGGCCCGCATATAAGACGACCCCCGAGTTTGAGAAGATTTTTTGATGATTTTTGTATAACGGGAGTATAAGACGACCCCCAGTTTCATCGGCGAATTTCCTACATTTTCCTGCTTTTATGGTCTTGATACTGAATCTTACTGGCTAAATAATTCATAAACAGCAATTTTACCCTTGATGATTTGAGTGTGCCACCCTCCTTCCCGATTGGTGCTACAAATTTTCGGTCCAAATAATAATAATAATAATAATAATAATAATTATAATAATAAAATAATAATTTTTTTTTCTATATATATATATTTATTTTTTATTTTTTATTTTTTTTTTATATGTATTTCTTGTATCTTCTTTTTTAAATATTTTAATGTTTTTGCCGCTTTCTTGCCCATAACTTTTGTAATATTACAAGCAATTTGGCCCATGGGCCACCATTTGTAATACCTCTGAGTGTTTTATCAATAAAGTGAAGTGAAGTGAAGAGCCAATTGTATGGCTAATTTCAGAGCTAAGCACACTTCCTACAGTGCCTGGCGTTAGACATTTAAACCTACCGTAGGTCTATTCTCTGGTATGTGTTCCAGACAGAGATCAATAAGTTCCTGCAACTCTGGCCATGGTGCAACATCACTTTCTGTTAAAGGAGGTAATTTACGCCCCTGAAACAATACAAATTGCAAAATACTCATTTACTGTAATCAAAATCTGGCTTACCACTGCCAATGATATGGAAGTTTTACAAATCAAATGATTAATTACCAGAGTCTGTTAATAATATTTATTTATTTATATATTATATATTTGACACACTAGCAATAAAATAATTACAGAAGACAATTTGATAAAGTACAAAACAACAGGTTAGAGGAATGTTTAGAAAGAATAATGGGCTGTTAGTCCGACACCAGAGTGAAATCTCTCTAAACATAACCTATAAAAAACAATTAAAAATCATCTATAAAAAATTAAAATGATTGACATGCAAAAAAGTAATTTACAGATTATAAGTAAAATAATTATATTTGATTTTACATACTCATTGCTCAGACAATGAGATTTCTGGTTTTTATTAGGGCAATTATCAACAGACATAAAAAAGATCATTAATTTATCATGATCACTAAATATGAAATAAGTTGGTGAACCAAAATGTACTTGTAAATGGACGACAACATAAAAGAAATAAAACTCACCCTAACAACAGCATCATCTAGCTCATTGCGAAAGTCAAGATCTTCAAATGGTTTCTTGCCGCCAGTGACAAGTTCATACAAAACAATCCCAAAAGAATAAACATCGACCTGTAACAGATAAACAATAATACAAAATAAGACAAATATACCAAAAGCGTAAACATTAACCTGTCATGTATAAACAATAATGCAAATCAGAAAATACCAAAACAAACAGCAACTTGTTATGTATAAACGATAATTAAAAATAAATAGAAAATATACCCTAAAAATAAAAATCACCTTGTAATGTACAAACAATAAGAAAAATAACAAAAGAATAAACATCTGGTATAGTCTATAGTGGTTATGGCACCATGCTAGTTATCTAGGTCATGGGTTTCAATTCCCACCCGAATCACTTGCAAATCTTTTTCCTACGTGTTTTGGGAGCGTACTGAGTATTTGTTATGATAACATGTTAGGTAAGGCAAAAAACATCACTTCTATAATAAACATCAAATTGTAAAATATAAACAATAATACAAATAAGAAAAATAACAAAAGAATAAACAACACAACCAGTCATGATAATAGTACCTCTCCTCATTAACACCCTTCTCCACTCTCAAACACATCTAAGCATCAACTAACATTTTTAATTATTCCTATTTAATTTTCATATATATATATATATACTGTATATA